TCCAGGATACCTACTTCACTGCCCACTGGTCTACTTACTCTACTTATAGGGACTCAAAAATGAACTTGAGGCTGAGTGAGAGTCTAAAAAACTCTCTGCTTCGTCACTATACGTGTGAGTGAGTGGTATCACTCAGTACTATGTAAATATTTGAAATTTTACTGTCACAATTGTCTAATCACTACTCATTACTCAGCCTCTGTATTAGCATTTCATCAAACTTGGTTGCCCAGGCAGCCAGGCTTGTGTTGACATGAATCATTGAATGTGTCAAAAAGTCTCCTAAATCTTGCATTATCTCTAAAAAATTGAGCAAATAGCCTACGGTACTTGTATTGTAGCCTATCGCTATCTGTATAGGCTATATGTTGTCATACCCAGTCATAATAAATGGTTACACTGTCAACTTACACAACTGTTGATAACTAATATGTTGCCACCATTGCACTATCAGAACTAATATGTTGCCACCATTGCACAATGCACAGTTTGCACTATCATTATCAGATACTGCAATTGCCGAGTGCTGACTTAGCTTAGCCCTACCTTGCTGCTTGTCACAAAAAAAAAATACTGTTCTTGACTATGATTTTTAATGTTCAATTATGACAAAAAATAGGCAAACTATTCAATCTTGCTAGAAATATGTAGTTCAGTACTTCAGTTCTTTTAAGAAAATAGATAATTTCTATTGAATGCTTGCATTGACACTCATTTGACAATTGACAGTAATGTAAGTCATAGTGACAAAGCAGAGAATTTTTTAGACTCTCCCTCAAGTTCATTTTTGAGTCCTATAAGTAGACAAGTAAAGCATAGTGGCAAAGCAGAGAGTTTTTTAGACTCTCCCTCAAGTTCATTTTTGAGTCCTATAAGTAGACCTGTAAAGTATCATGGATACCAGCATTATCATACTTAAGAAATTGGTTTAAGGGGACCGTCTAACCCAAAAATCGAAAAATTTCACTTTTTTCGTTTTTTGGTCCATTTTAAAGCTGCTTTTCAGGCGCATAAATTGGTGTAATTGGCATCTCTGTGCGTGCGTTAGTTTGTTTTTTATTCATTTTAGTATGGTTGGTACTATTGGCCGATATCAGTGCGCGGACCTCTGACGTCGGCTCTGACGTCGCTCTATAGCCGACCAATCGAGCTGGCAATTTTGAACGGCTTGCTTCAGCGGCCAATGAGAGATATCAGGGCTAACAAAAATTTATGACATTCGAGCCGCGAGATTTCATACCTACTGAAATTATATGATATTAGAGCCGCGATATTTCAGACAAAAATAGGACTTTTCCAGACTAGAGTAGGAGTAGGAGTAGTGGTAGTAGAATGGTTTGCTAGTGCTTCAGCTATCAAGCTAGGCCTATTTTGCACCGGAGTGCAAAATATAACATTGCCAGCTGAGTAAGACCAATTTGGAATATTGTGCAAAATGCACAAGTGTCCTTAAATTCAGGTCAAAAAGAATAAGCTTTACAAGGGATTTTCAAAATTTGAACTGTCTAAAAGGTAAAAGTAGTCAATTTTTCTTAGTTTTTGATGAAGAAATTGGATGAGCCACAGCTCACAGGATGAAATTCTAGAAATTATGGTTAATATATTATTTTTTATATATATTATTTCATCAATAATTTACCTCTAAGTTGAACACAACAAATTACTATTCACAATAACAAATTGCAGCACCAATAAGAGTTCTACACAACCACAGACAGAGCACAGAGGCTGTTTGAGGGAGCAAAATTGTGTACATGAGAATTTTGTGATAGCATGCGCAGTGCGCACAACTATGGCCGTCTATGGGTTATTGATAAACCATATAATTTATAAGGATACTGGTGTCTGGCACCAATGCAGCAGTGCATATCATGATATCAGGCATGGAATATATCTACTTGACAAGCCCTGACTGGATTTTTTGAGCCATGGTTTTTATGGGTTTGCCAGCTGTGATTCAATTTCTTAGAGCCATGAATTCCATATCTTGGCCATGAAAAGCCATTTACAATCTGCAAACTTATTTACAAAGTCGCAGGCACATGTTACCCCAAATATATAATTTTCCTTTAAAAACAGTCCAATCGTACAGGCGGTACAGCAACAGTAGCATTTATCTTCACTTGAATGCAACTGAACATGTGATAATGCAGTCTGAATGCTCTGATGTGACAGCAACCATGCAATCATCAAGGGAACATTTTGGTTGTTATTACTTTCTGCAGGATATTTTGGTGGAAGCGTTGAAGTAATGTGGATTGTGGAAGTTGAAAATTTTATGGAACAACATGTTTGCAAAGTGCAAACTGCAATTTTTTCAAGCAAACAAAAATACATGACATTAGAGCCATGAGATTTCATATCTACTGAAATTATAATATATTAGAAACACAATATTTCAGAATAAAGTGGGGCTTTTCCCAGACCTGGTGCATATCAATATACTATTGACAACTGGCAACAGGGTGTGTACCGGTAATGGAAAACCTGAAAAGCCATGTAATTTGATTTTCCAGGCCTGGAATGTCATGGGATTTCATTTCAGGTTATGGAAAGTCATAGAATTTGCAAATAAATGAAGAAAAAAGGAAGTGTTTTTCTGTGCTGCGTGTGTTAACCCAATAATGCCGAGCAGTTCCATTTGGAACCAGTGGAGAAAAATGGATTCATAATAAAATTTTAAGATCAAATACATATACAAGTGGATGCGTATGTTTGCTACACATCCTGTATACATGTTCACAAGCATATTCAATATTCATGGAATGTTGCTGAAATAATAATATCACTAGATTGCTTTAAATGCAGATTCACTAGAAATTTGAAAGCAAAGAAAACACCACAAAAATTCAGCATATCTCTATTGAAAACTTTTTGGAGACCAGCTCCATCAGCAGTTCGAAAAATCTAGAACTCAAATAAAGTCAGAAAATTAATAAAGTTTGGAGTAAAAAAAACACAAGTTAATAACCTAAATTTACAGACAAAGGGCAGAATAATGAAGTAAGTACCTATCTATTCACAATTTCTTATGGATAAGAACTATAGGCTCAAACACTTAAGAACTATAGGCTCAAACACTATTAAACTGCGGCTTTCGTATTTGCTTGACTTTCCATGCCATGGACTGTACCAGCTATTCTGTCCCATGCTTTGTGATGCTTTTCTAATGTGCAAATATGGTTCATTAACATTTTTAAGCAATTTTACCACGTTTTTCTTAGCTCGCTTTCGTGTCCGCCTGTGATGATCAAATCTTGCAATCGATATTTCACCAACTTTCCCGCTAGCTAGCGCTCTGAAACTCTTAGGGAAGCTCAGCTACCGGTAACAATACAATAATCAATGATTTGTTGCACGTTTCCAGGCATATTTTTACCGAACCTTTCTTTTTACAGCCGCGCACCCAGATAAATACGGGAACAACTATGTATCCCCTCGAATACTATTTTCTTCAGAACTTTGAAAATAATTTTCTTTTGTGCATTTGCGCGGCCAACTGAAATGAAATGAATATTATGTGGGATGGTTGACCTTTGTGCACTAGTTATAAACTCTAAAGGAACTCACAAGCAGGGGTTGGGAACCTTTAATGCACGTCATCCTTGAGAGGATATTCGTCTTTAGACTGCGTAAATCGATGATACGCTTCGTATCATCGATACGTACGTCGAGTCAAGTAAATTGGTTCGCAACAACGTTTTTCATGTGTAGCAACGGACTAAAAAGGAGAAAATAAAATACTTAAAAAACTAAAAAGTAGAAAATAAAATGTATAAAAAAATTTTTAAAGACCACGTTTTTCATGTGGACTCAAAAGTAGAAAATAATTTTTCGGCAGCTACTGATCTGTTTGCTTTCATTCTCTTGATCTTTTGTATTTCAGTTAAAATATTTTACAACATCTAAAACGAAAAATGTGGGGGTGCATATGTATTTAATTGTTTGGTGATTACTTGATATGATGAATATGATGGTTCATTGAACATTTGATAAGTGTATTGCTGATATAATTCGAAATAGTGGTTGAATTCAAAATTGAAATTAAGGCATGCCTAAATGAAGATGCGCCCCACGTTTTTCGTTTTAGATGTTGTAAAATATTTTAACTGAAATACAAAAGATCAAGAGAATGAAAGCAAACAGAGATGAGTAGCTGCCGAAAAATTATTTTCTACTTGAGTCCACATGAAAAACGTGGTCTTTAAAAAAATTTTTTATACATTTTATATATTATTTGTTCAGTTAATTATCTACAGTCATTAAGATCGGAGTTTAAAGCTTTAAATATAAATTAGTTCATTGTTCCTTCATTAACTATGATTCTGATTCTGTTCCATTAATAAATTAATGCTCCAAGCATGTTTATCATCTTAATGGCATGATGGCCATGAGTTGTTAAATTACCTTAAAATATTTCTCATTTTCCAAAGCTTTGTCATGAGTGTTGCCATTTAATTTCTGTCAATTAATTTTAGTTATGCTTTTCAGTTAACTGGCACACGAACCACCTCCGCCTGCCCATGCTCTAATTTCTAGTTCACTTTTAGCATAACCACTCACAATCCACACAACACTTTTATTAGTCATTACCCATAGTTTGTTTTGCTTACTTCAGTCACTTGTTTTGATTAATTTTGTACAAGATCCCTTAATTAATTTTATTGAGAACTTGTTTCATTATCTTTTCACTTAGATAGTTATCTCTAAATTCATAAGCAGATGAGTTTCTCACCTGCTAGAGACACACGGTAACAATGCTCATCTCACTTGAGGGTCTCACTGCATCATGTAGGAAATTATATTTCTCCCATCACTTTTTAAATTGCAAACAACTGTATTAGATTTTGGCATTATACTATCATTACTTGCATCTTACTTTAACAAATATAGAACTCATTGAGAGATGCATGATTTTGGCAATAGTTTGATGATAATCTCGAAAATGTTCAATTATGTCAACACATGATATATTGTTTATGCAATCCATCTTTTTTTTCAGAGACCTGTTTGGAATCTTATATAATTAATTTTTATATACATCTGGCCATAATGCCTAACTCTCAAGCCCTCTTGAATTTCCCTAAGCGTAGAACTAGATCTGGCATGACAAAATCTCCAGCTCATTACTCCCCTAGTAGAAGCTATTTACTTGTTGAGCCACCCATAACAGCTTCTCGCCCTTCCACTAGACATGCTGCATCTAAAGCCAAAACCAGAAATACTGCATCAGCTGTTTACTCCATTGACAGCAGCTCTTGTGATGAATCCCCAAGAAAATCCTTTACAGCCAAGGTTAAATCACCAAAGAGGAAACAGCATGGTAATTACTAGTGTAATTGGAAATAAAGCAATGAGCAATTACCATATATAAGGTTTTTTTCATCCTTAAATGCAAATTTTTTTAACCTGCTCATCATTCTTTAAGTTGTAAACTAGACCATCAAAGTTTTTTAAAGTTGTCATTAAAATATAATTTGAATGCTTTATGGCCTCCAATAGTAACTTGTTCCTTCTATTATTATAGTTTTGCAACTTGCTTTGATTTATTTTACAGATGCATCAGCTCCACAAGACATTTACTGCTCGCCTATCAAGTCCCCACGGAAAAATTTGCAGACCATTTCTCCCATTCGGCTTAAAGCTGTCTCTGCCTCTACCTTCATGACTGTGTCTAAGAACAACTCAAAAGAAAAACTAAGTTCAATATTCTCCATGGACAGCAGCCAAAATGGCAGCAATGCATCAGATTCAAGCGATGATGAAGTAGATATTTCTTGCCATGATACTCCTGTAAAAGAATCCTTTGCTAATGGAAAAAAATCAGTTCACACTTACCATGGAGAAAAGGAGAATGTTGCACCTAGAGTACCTGTGCCCTCTCCTGGCAGTCAAGCTACAACGCCCTCTACTATGAGTCTCCGGTCCTCGCTATCAAGCCCCTCTGCACTGTGCATGAAGCTCATCACTTTACTGTCACCAGTGAAGCAGGTGCAGAATGATGTTAAAAGCATAAGTCCCTTGCTGACCTCTAGAGAAAAAATGCATACACTGAAAGACCTTAACAGCCCCAGAAAGTTATCGGGAATTTCTAGAAATTTGTTTTGCCATGACAAAGAAAACTTAGGCTCTTCCGTTTCTTCAAAAAATTCAGCTGAAGCCTCACCATCTAGTGATAGTTCTTCAGTAGTACAGCTTAAAAAGGTTCAAGTTCAGCTCTCTGATGTTCTTGTGGAAAATTCTATGTATACACCTGCTGTTGTCAAAAGTCCTCTTAAAAAAGGAGGATTTATCCATAAGCTGAATGAAACTGAATGTGTTGAAGTCCCTTCCAGTCCACTCAAAACGCCCAAAAAATTCACTGCAAATTTGTACAAGAAAGAAACGTCCATTCCTGAAAAAGAATCTCCTATGAAGATTATTGCTGCTGCTAATGTCCAACATCCTTGGTAAGTGATGCAGCTTTAAGTATACTTTCCAAAAATAATTGGTGCATTGTTTTGCACTTAATGTGGATGTGATCTTCATATTGTGTGAAGTGTTTTGCGTCTCACAAAAATTTTTTGTGGGATCTTTATTGTAGAAAATGATTTGCTTCTAATGCCTGGACTTAGACTTATGGCCTGATTTTGTGCTGTATATGCTTTATTTATATGAACATTTTGATGAGTTCAGTTCTTGAAATGTTTTTTTTTTCTTGTGTGTGTGTGTGTGTTATTTTCACCTCAATCTCATTTCATTTATAAGGTACTTGTATTGATTCTTCAACTTCATCACTAGGTAGCTTACATTTTGCATTCACTTATTGCTTCATATTCCTTTCTAAGCTTCAACTGCCTAAACTTTTAATCAATTCAGATAATCTCTTACTTATCCAAAAAAAAATTGCAATTTCAATGATTCCTCATTGTAGCCATAAAAAAATTTTTTGTCTTGTTCTCAATATTTGTAACTGTTCCTCAGTGTGACTACACAAAAATTTTTTATTTAGGTACAAAATTACTAATTTTTGGCTTAGGTACATTTTTTATCTAATCTAATTACATTTAGACTATATTTAATTATTTGTTGCAGTTCACCCTTGAAGAAGCTCATTGTGACCGAGAGTATCCTGAGAAGGTCTCCTCGCAAACATTGCCCTCTCAACTCCCCTAGCAGACCACTCCTGACACCCACCAAGAAGACCTCAACCAATGGAGTTTCTCCCTTGAAACTTAACCAGGATAAAGGTAAAATATTTCTTATTTTTCTATTTTTTATTCCCACTTATTTATCGATTTTTTTTTTTTTGTCTCTTGATTTGTCATAACACATTTGATGCAGTATTTACTGTGACTAGCACCATTTGCACTAGTACTTTCAGTTAAACTTTTCACAGGGTTTTCTCATACAAAATTTTATGCAAACTCGATTTTTATGTGTGGCTAAAGTTTATGGTACATACTTGATGCCTCTGCCGTAGCATGAACTGCGAATTGGACACAGTTGTATGTTGGATTGAACCAATAGTGAGATAAGCCTAATCCACTGAAATTAAACGTTATCGAGAACTGTCTGTGAATCATTGTATAAATGTTTGATCAGATAGAAGCTTAGGAGCGATGCAATGAAGACAGGCTTGAGATGATTCACAACTGCAAGAATCACTTACTATACTAAGCTCAAAATTGATCCAGTGGTGAATCAATCCGAACTTTTGTTTGTTTGTCAAAATTTAGGTACCTAGTTGCACAAATTTTGGAGCACTAACCTTGCAAAAAATAACGTAAATTTAAAATTAACCTATTGTGTTTTGATAGCTTCTTCAACATAGCTCTAACTCTGGTACAATTATAACCAGTTTTACCTGATAGAACCCTGTATCGGGCAGAAGCAGTTTTCTCAATATACTTCCATTTGACCTACTTAGTTACTTCATGGTATCCATACCCTCACATTTTCATTGTTAACCTATTTGCTGTTTATTTTTAACCATGTAAAATTATGTTATATTATTATTGTTTGGACTTCGTGGATGATATGGAGATTATTATATGCATTGATTCAGGGGCTATGAGCTCAGGTTAACTTACGGTCATGATTTTCATTCATTATTCTGTGGTTACAATATTTTCACGAGCAGGTTAGCTGATAGATTAACATCTTCTACTGCAAGTCTAAATTTTGTTCACTCGTTCCATATTAATCCACTTATTTTTGTTTATTTAAGAACCCGGTAATAAATTCCATTTATTTTATGGAGGATGACATGTTATAAAAATGACAGATCAGTTGTTCAGTACACTAACAAACTTTTTATCTACAATAATCCGTTTCGAGATATGTACATTTCTAGATTTATTTCTTCGTGCAGTGTTCGTTTACCAAGCCGTAAGACGAGCTCTGAGCCACACAATGCCGGAGTTAGTTGGACGTGATGTTGAGGTAGCGACCATCAAGTCGTTCCTGCAGAGCTGCCTACAGGAGAACCAAAAGCGTGCCGGGGCGATGTACATCTCAGGGGCTCCCGGCACCGGAAAGACGGCTGCACTCACACGGATCCTTGAAACATTGCCCGTCAGTGAAGTAATTTTCAGTTAATTTCTCACGATCAGTGTCATTTATAGTGCAGGTCAGAGTCATTTATATTGTAGAGCAGAGTCATTTATATTGTAGAGCAGAATCATTTATAATGTAGAGCAGAATCATTTATAATGTAGATCAGGGTCATTTATAGTGTAATTTTATGTTGAAATTAATTAATGCTTCTTCATGGAGTAATATGATAAATTTTTTGGTTTAAAATTGGGCAAATAAAACTTATTCAGCTCAACATCTGAGAGGAAATTTGCTATGTTTTAACTTGGAGAATGTACTATTAGGTACTAAACAGAAAACTGCAGCAAAGGTTTGATATTAATAAAAATGAATGATGAACTTGCCCGGCGTTTTAAATGATGATTAAACGTGCACTTAATCTTAAGCACAGTATTGTGGAACAGATCTCATTGCCTTGTCTTAACTTTTTACGTTGTTGGCATCATTGCCCCGTGCTAAATATGTCCTGCTAGTCTCTTAACATCATAAGCTTTTGTATTATATTACTATGCTACTATAATCCTATTTGCGTTTTGCAGGAAATAAAAGGAATATCGCCAGTGTGGGTGAACTGCATGGGCCTGCAAGGGGCAAGTGCAGTTTTTGCTCGCATCTCTCAAGAGCTTGCACTGCCGCAGCAACCCACGGAGCTGAAAACTTTGCGAGCCCTCGAGAAACATTTCTCAAAGAAGGGCAAGAGCATGTGAGTGTTGGGCGATTGTTTTCTTTATTTAATTCAATATTTTAGTTTGCTTTTCCGTTTCGTAGTTCTAATATTAAATCTTATGTTGGTCTAGTGATCAAATATATTTTTGTAAATGTAAGTAGTTCATTCCTCTGCCTTATTTGAATGCATTATGATTATGAATCGAGCGTGCATTATGATGGCTCTAATACTAATAGAATATCGTCATGTAATAATTAGATGTTTATGCTCTATGCTAAACTCAGGAGAGGTTTCGTGCTTAATGAAAATGAAACTGCACTTTTTATATATATTTTCGCTATTCAAAACTATTTAAAAGAACAAAATTGATTTTCCCACCAGACTTGAGCTGAGGTCTATGATAGTGCACTGTAAGGCATCCTAATTTCTTTTCTTGCAGTGTGACTTCAATCGAAAAATTGATTTTTTTAATTTTTGCAGTGTATTGGTGCTGGATGAAGCGGATCAACTGGAAACGCGTCATCAGGAGCTTCTGTACACAATATTCGAGTGGCCGGCCCTCCAATCGTCGCGTTTAGTGCTGCTTGCCATCGCCAACAGACTGGACCTCACTGAGCGCGTGCTGCCTCGACTAGCGACGGCGGGCAACTGCGCCCCTGAGCGCCTGCACTTCCCGCCATACACCAAGCAGCAGATTCTCGATATCCTCACCGACCGACTTCACAAGGTTGGTTGATCGGTATATTTAGACTTGAAAAATACGCGATGTTGTGCATCGTTTTTTGAAAAAGTTGTAACATTTAAAGTTCTGATGACTGGCTGTTCGACCTTGATCCTATCCTTTAGTTCGCGCTTTATTTCTTTTTTAAACACTCAAGTTATGTTAACTCCATGTGTCTTATGATTAACTCATTTAATTGCTAGCTATTGTTTAAGTCATATTCTTACTATATTTTATTTATTTGTAAAATAGTGAGAGATTCTAGCAATGAAGCAACTGTTCCGAGGTAATCGCAAGCAATTTACAAAAAAATATATATATCATCAGAGCCAGGTGAAGTGGCAGGATGTGATCAGACCAGCCGCCCTTCAGCTGCTGGCTGGCAAGGTTGCTTCAGTTGCGGGCGATGCCCGGCGCGCGTTGGACGTGTGCCGTCGCGCTGTCGACACTTGCAGCGGTAGTCAACAATCAACCAAAGGCGAGGAGAAGAATTTTTTGTGTCGTGAATTTTAGCCTTTGGATTGTATTATTAAGTAGTGTGCGGTGTGCCACATTTTCTGTTGGCTTCTTTATGAGAGTCCGCTTCAGTGTGGTAATTGAATGCAACCATTACGGAGCAGTTTGTTTCGAATTATCATGTTTAATTGCTGTATATAAATAATTGTTTTGTTGTATATTTCTTTACTTGCCTTCACGCAATTAAGCTTCTCACTTGGCGGACGAAAATTAAATCTTGTTTGAATGTTATTCCCGCGGTTGTTCCATCCGACAGCTTTACTTTTTCCCGAGTTTGAGAAATATTTTGCCAGGTAGACAATATTTTTTGTTAAATTTTAAATAAATTCCATGCATTGGTATCCTTCCAAGTTAGGAAAGGCAACTATTAAACCAGGCTAGAATAGTCAACTATTAAGCGCATCATTTTCTGAGCAGTAATGTTTTTGAAATGCTTCAGATGACTTTTTCTAAAGTTGGGAATTCTGCAGGTGCATCTACTGCTCCTAATGCTACTGAAAGAGTTGTGGACATTGCCACGATTCTGAAAATTTTCAACGAAGTCTATGGCTCGCGAGTTGTGACAACAATTGCGTCTGCTCCTGCGGCTTTCCCTTTACAGCAAAAAATTCTTCTTTGCTGTCTTTTGCTGGTGCATAAACATGCTAAACAAAAGCACACCACGATGGGCAAGGTGAGTTGCTAGCCTATTTATTTCCCCCAATTCAATAGACTGCTATTTTATTCTATAGAATTATCTATTTCATTTCTCCCCATATTGAAATGTCATTTACATTTGGAGGATGGTGTTTTCATAAGGTCATGGCGTTTGAAGCTGCTCGCGGCTTCATTGGTAGGTTGACCAGATTCATTTGTGACATATTTACCCTACTTGATTGTTTAGATTTGTGGGTAAAGCGACTAATGGGTAACACTTGGAGCTGCTGCCTGTTGCTATACTGTCACTGCATAACGAAGGCTACCTTTTGTTCCCATTTAACAAACCAGCTCCTGTTATTTGTAGCATGAAAGATGCTCTCTTGACTGTGTCGCCGTTACTTCAGACTCGTACTGTGAATGCCAGAACTTTTCACATCAATTTCTGTTCTTGAGGTACCTCACGAAAGTGATACTTGGAAAGGAAATTTGTCCTCCAGAGGACGCCTTTAAATTTTACCTGATCTGGATTGTTAGACCTGCAATTCCCTCAGCGTGCCATCTCGCCCTTATCTTGGTGGAAGGGGGGGCTTTTGTGTCTCGATGAGAGCCGAGGCTGTGCGGTTCCAGATTCAACCATAGCCTAGTGGCTTGGGTGGAGAGTCCAGGCCAACTGACATAGCAAACGCTCTTCTAGTGATTGCATAGCTTTCTTACGGACGCACAATTACTTCTTCTTGTCAAGACGAAACCTAGTTGGGATCTAGACCCGACCTGCCAGCTTTCACAGTCATTCATTGAGGGGGTTAACCGAGAGACTCCTGTACAGGTGGGGACAGTTTGAACGCCGCGCAGATGGAGTGGCGCCAATTTGCAAAGCTAGCCACGTTCATACATACTGGTGACTGGGCACAGGACAACCAACGCTACATCTGAGTGAATGGTTCCATCAGGATTGCGTTTTCCCTACAGAAAAGATCCCGTTGTTAGAGGTCATCCAGGCTCATGCTCAGCGTATGTAAGAACATTGTCAAGTAAGAACATGACATTGAAATGAACTCTCCCTTGGTCGCGCCTCTTGCATCAGACACTCCTGGGCATGACCCAGTTCCTCATAATGGAATCAAGTATGACTTCGCCCACCATCGAAACTGCGAGCTACCACTCTCGAATTACGCGAGCCGGAGGAGTGGACGCACTGACGGACATCTTGATCTATCATAGAACCTTATGTAATGAACAGAAAACAAGAATATCACGAAAATACGGCAAAGAAGACAAGAGCCAGACGAATTAATAATCGCGCTTCCCGAAGATCCAGTCTTTTGCATAAAAATTTGAATGAACCCCAACCCTTCCGACAAATTTACAAAAAACTCAAGAATTCTCCACAATATCATCCAATGCCGGCCGCCGCCTCTAAGTTATTGATGTAATAAAGCCAGTCTGAAATAAAAATAACCCTGATAGGCAAACCAACTAAGATTACTGAGATTAGCGGAGCGCTCCTTGTTGAAATTGCAAGCAGAAGAAAGCCAAGCCATAATCACCATCAAGACCATGACAGCTGCTGCGCATGAAAAGCTGAATAAGAGCCGAGGCACCTTATGGTGCCTCAACCGCCCGAACTATCCAGGGAAAGACGTAATGACCGAACTAGGCCTCAACGGATTCAAGTCCTTGCACTAAACGAAAAGAAGCTAGCAGAGCGTCATAGTCTCAACCTCACTATAAATAGTTGACCTTTGATGGCTACCATTTCCTATCGCACGTTGCGATTGGCTGGAGGCACTGCTAAATGCGAAAGTACTTCCCGAGGCCCCACCGGTGCTATAAAAGCAAGGGCCTGTACTTTTAGAAAAAATTAAGAGATCGTAAGTTCATCAGCCAATCATTGACGGCCTTTCAAGCAAAATTCACCAATCATAGACAAGATAATAGAGCGTAAGTGCTTACGTTCACTTAGCGAGTTTTGAAAGAAAGTATGGCCCCAGGTCTTTGGCCATTGGACAACGCCCTGGCGCCAGGCCACTGTCATCTGTGCCCAATATCAGCATGATCTACCATGTCCACATCCCGTCTAGTGCACCAGTCATTCAATTTGTTTAAACTTGTTGTTTGATGTGCAGCTCCAAGAGATCTACAGCAGCGTGTGTGCGCACCGCCAGTTGCCGTCCGTCGACTCGAGCGAGTTCCTATCTCTGTGCTGCAACCTCCAAACTCGCTCTCTGATCGACATCGGCAAGAGTAAAGACATCAGGATGGCCAAGGTCAGTTTGTTGCAGCTGTAAATCTTTATTATTTCAGCACATGGAGTATAGTACAAATTGTTTAACTTTTATCAGTTTGCCTGTACGAAGGAGTTCTTTGAATGTGACATCTATCTTCTCCCGAATTGAGATAATGAATTTCGTCTAGTCCTTGTAACATAAAAAAATGAAGCCAGGAACAAATTTGCTATAGGCGTGAAGAGTGCTCGATAGACAAGTGAGCGTTAAGTTTCCTTTTGCAAATAACAGAAAGTTATTATTTGCATAATCTTAACAGAATTTCATACAAAATAACGATGTCTCCTGTCAATTATTCGTTCATATTTGTACTTGCGCGAAACTCAGTTGTGTCACGGCCCGTCAAGATGTTGGAAAGTCTAATAATAATAATGCTAGCGTGGGAAAAAATGACATAGAAATTATTGTGAGCAGACAGAGCAACATAGGACCTGCAACGGTTCTCCTGAACTATAACGTATTAGTTCGAAGTAAATACTTAATTACCAATAAATCGTTTCCACCCATAGGTGATGCTGTCGCTCAACCCTGACGAAGCGGAGCGAGCGTTGGCAGACCGGGAGCTCATCCTTCAAATCCTCGAGGATCGTGAAGCGTTGGGTAGATTGGCCAAGAAGAACTAGTGCACGCAATTCCCAAGTAATAATTATACAGGGTGCTTATGAACCAGATCATTCTTGCTTGTTAATTCGAAAGGACAGCTTTACATTAAAACCCGCTTCACGAGTACGACGAGACGTAAGAAGTTGCGGTTTTGTTTTATATTTTTGACTAGTACAATATACCATTCTTAAGAAGTATTCAATTTACTTTACTTTTAACTTCCGATTATGCGAGAGGAAATTACGACCGTGCTATAATTTTGCCAAGTCGAAGTTGAACGGATCTCAAAATTTGTAAGAACTCGCTTGGAGACTAGCTCATTGCACAGTACAGTATCTTCAGCGTTGAAGAATAAGCCTGGATAGGCCTTTCGGTTATTCCTGTACTTTTCCTGACTAGTTCACAGATCTGAAAGACTCCTTCACATCAAATATATTCAACGGACGGTAGGGTTACAATTGTCGCTTGACAGCTAGTGCCAAGTTAATGACGAAAAACTGTTTGACATACAATTCAAGGAACTTGGTCAGCTCTTGCAGGAAATGTGTCCTCTAGTTTGCACTAGGTGAAAAAATGGTTTCAGTGTACGATCAGATATTTTGATACCAGATGCAGAATAAACGGCAGTCCTGCACGCAGGCTAACAGTAAGATGAATTAAAATATAATTTCTTAACAGCAGTTTGATACATTATTTCTCCTACGATCGAAATTAGATTTTATCATTGTAACTTAAAGGGTATTCAAACACTGAATTCCAAGCCAGGAGCATCGTTTATTTATTTTTCTTGCTCTTGATTTTCTTGAGGTAGAATTCTAACTCCTTCCCTTCAAGAATGTAGCCATCGCAACGTCCGCATTGGCCTGGGCGTGAAGTCACGCAAACTGGAAAATAGAATATTAAAGTCATTATTTTACTATCGAATGTTCCTATGCGATAATCATCAAAAAACCGAATAAGTGATAACAGACCAAATCATTGAGCATGCACGGTATTGTAAATATTGACCAAAAATTTTATAACTGTTGGCGTAGACACGACAAATTATCTACTAATTCCCAATCGATTGTTTATTGTTCCGTCACATTTCTATCATGGTTAAAAAAGTAGAGAACGTGTATTTCAAAGGACGCTGTAGTCTAATTACTGACATTTACACTCTTTCCTCACATCAAAATCCCGGAAAATTCTGATATCCTAGTAATATCAGTAAATTTATATGTTCCCGTTCAACCCAAAGTTTTCGACAAGCTGAATAAATTTATCAGTCATCGAACATGGTGACGATCGACTGCAATTAGCACCGTGTAGATGATAATAATTTAAATAAATTTACCGGTAAACATATCACGAAAGTGGAGGTTTAAAAATAGTCAACGCTTAACTTACCGAGCAACTTTCCGGTCTGGAACTGTTCTTCAAGCAGAGGATCAAGCTTGGCACGCAATTGACGGAAAGCCAGCTTCTTAGCTGCTTTCGGGGTGCGAACTTTATTGAAGTTATTTTTTTCTTCCTCAGTCTGTAGATAAAAAATTTGAATGATGAAATCTTTAGAAATAAATTGTGACTGTCCGTCTGTCCGATGCAAAAAAATTACGTTACACTATGCAAGTACTGTCAGATGTCATGTAACGTAACCTTACTAGCATTAGGCAAACAAAACGGACATTTTTTTTTACTTAATAATCCAATTGAATTATCGATAACCATGATAGTAATTTTCAAACAATAGTAGTCAGTAGGCTGTTTTCAATTAATATTTAATAAACAACACGGCGTACAGTATTCTCAGTGTGTAACTTACCAGCTTGGCATCCTTCCTGCGACCAAGGGGGATAGCGTAGTAGCTCTCGTACCACTGACGGAAAGGCGTCGCGTCAATCGAAATTATGGTATTTTTAACCAAGGTCTTGGTCCGAACCAGCTCGTTGTTGCTTGCATTGTAGATGACGTCGATGATGCGAGACTTTCGTGTCTGACCTGCATAATAAAGTTACATGGATTATTGACTAGTCAAACTCTCTTTAATCCTAAAAAAGTTAGAATTGAATCGAAAATCTGAACAGTTTAATGAATATTGGAAACCATTAGATGCAAAATTTATCATAAAATTGTATTTAGTGACAAAACAGAATTACTTTAAACTTTATATACATATTTCTTCACATTTCATATCACTCAGATAACCCACATACTTTTGATCAACAGTCTACTTAAGAAGCAATGCCCATAGATCAGATTATCCCAGTATTAAAAACTATCTGCAAATAAATTGCATAACATTAAGAATAACGCCATTTAAGTGATGCACAGACTTTACTGACACAAATTATCCATTAAAAATAAATTACTAAGATCATGTAACAGTAGCTTTCTTTTGATCTTAAAATATCAATTGCTAGTAAATGAGGAATAGCCAATTTGATTATGGCTTCTGTAATTCATACCATCCAAGTGAACCTACCACGAACTTACAGTACCTGCTTTTAGCAGACATAGCATCAACTCTAGAGTATTGACATACCACACCCAGAAATTTAACCCAGCAGTCTTAGGTTTAGGTCATTTTATCAGACCAACAAATCTCACACAGATTTCGAACTCCAATTCCTACAGACTAACATATTTGACAAGAACAGTAACTCCAACAATTAAAGCTCTTACGCCATTAGTGGAACAGACCTTCTGACCCCCAGGAATAATTCCCAGAGTCCAGACGCAAGGCCCTGTACTTCTTGTTGCCACCTCGGGTCCTAACGATGTGGATGCGCTTGGGGGCAAGCTTTGTGTTGGCAGAGGGACGACCCAACTCATACTTCCTCTTCTTGTGAGGCTGCTTACGCTTGCCTCCAGTCGCACGCCTCTTATGCCAGCTATCCCTCGAGATACCTGTGAACATTATAAAATATGATTAATATGTGCTGTAAGATAAAAGTAAATAAAATATATCATGGTAGTAAGGTATTATTAAACTTAATTCATTCCCAAAGCGAATTTATTTTATTCTTAGTAAAAATGCTAAATAAGAATAAATATGTTCATTCCCTTTTGATGACTTGGCACAAGAAATCCACTTGGCACAATTGGAATTTTAGAGCTGCTTGAGATTTCTACTTTTCTAATTATAAATTATAATCCAAGCATGATCCATACCAAAAATGCTTTGTAAAACTAATTAGGAAGATTTTGCACTAAAAACCTAGAGATTATAGCAAATTTGACTAGTGCACTCATGACTGATGAAAGTCATCACATAACTACATTCACCCATAAACAGAATAGCATAAACTCGAGTTTGAACCAAAATAATAATTTGTATTATCAAATTTATTATCACATGCATGTTACCATTTGTATTATTATTATCACTGTATCACATGTTACCCCAAATCTCTAATTTTACCCTGAAACAGTCAAACGGCAACAATAACATTTATCTTTGCTGTAAGCTGAAAATGTGTTAATACAGTCTGACCACTTTGACATGACCGCAAGTAAACATGATCTTCAATGATATGTTCATGTTGACTAGTTTACATTACAATGATTACGTTCTGCTGGATATTTTTCCGGGAATGGTAGAGCAATGCAGATTGTGGAGGTCAAAATTTTATGAAATTACATGTTTGCAAAGCGCAAACACCAATTTTTTCAATCAAACAAAAATTTATGGCATTTGAGCTGCGATATTTCATACCTACTGAAATTATATAATATTTGAGCCGCAACATTTCAGGAAAAATAGGACTTTTCCAGCCCTGCCAATGGGGTGTACCACTGGTATAAAATAAGCAAATCAGGAAAGACCATAAAATGGCTGAAATAATCCAAAGCATGAATATTGGTCTCCTAAAAAGGCACTTCTGCCCAATTTTCCAAAATAAAAATAAAGGACTTGGTGTTAATCTAACCCTACATTAGTCTACAAGTTATATTTCTCCTCATTTTTTAGTAGTAGATTTTACTCTTTAGTAGATTAGAATTAGTTTATATCAAGGAACAAGAAGTTGTGTACAATATTTGCTGACTTGCAACAATGCATCTTGGAAGTCAATGATCACAGATGATGGGATTATGTCTAATGTATTGTATGCAACTGTAAAAATAACATGAGCCCCAAGGTCACAGGAATGGAATTGTGAAGCAGCTGAATAATATAAATGTGAAGCAGCTCTATATTAAAAATGTGAAGCAGCTTAACACTTTGACGCTTGCCTCAGTTTTTCAGTTTGGTCCAATTAGCACAGACGTCTCTAGACGTAAATAGACCTGGCACAATAACCCCTGGACTACATGGGGTTGCAGGAAAGATGAACAATTTGTACCAATTTTGAGCAGGTGTACGAGTGTTTTGGACTTCCCCTGTTTCCATATTATGTAATCTTGCCAAGACAGATATACGGCACTGGTTAACAGCTCGTTTCAGTGTTGTGCTGGCCGTGTGAATGATCGAGTGCGTGACTTTGAACCGTTGTGTTACTTCTGAAGTATTATTTAAGCAATTAGATACCTCAAATATCATTTATGGATATAACATAGTTTTTAATATATATAGTTTTCATATTTTTCCTTTCTCACAGAATATTTTTGAGAAATCATACAATTATTATTTTGCCTATAACATAAAGCTTCACTTACTAATGAACAAATAGCAACACTTTTAGCAGTAGGTTCTTCAAGTAACTTGACAGTTCAGGGTTGGGAAATGACGCGGTTGGAGACAAAGTCTTCGAATCTGATGGAAATGCTAGCGTCAGCACAAGCAGTGAATGTGAAAGTGTTGTGACAAATGATGAAGTTCCCTCAGATGATGAAGTAACTGTGGGTTATGAGAGTACTAGTGAACAATCTGTTGTTTCTGAGTATGTTGATATTGAAGAACCTATTGAAGAGTTCTCTTTTGAACAACATTCAGGAATATATTGTTGGTGTACTAAATATTTGTTGGAGTACCTTGGAATATGAAAGAATTGTTGAATTTCACTCTTTGGAAACCATTTCTTCATTGAAAAGAATGTTCCTCAATATCTACGTAGCAGAGTGTGCACACAAGAAAAGAAGAGGAGAGAGACACAATACAGATGTAAAGATTGTGAAGGTACACCGCCTTTGTGTCCAGTCAGTGTGGAATTCCAGAGGGGTAATATATTAACTGGTAAACATAGCAAATCGGAAAGCAGGACCCAAAAATCTGGAACATCCAGCACACTTCCACTTTCAGTCCATCATCATCACTGATGAGTCTCTGCAAGATGCCACAGCTGTTTCATTGAAAAAAAAACAGCACTTGCATCATCACAGTAACAAGAATACAATCAACCCTTGAACGCGTCTAATGTAACAGTCACAAGAATCCAATCAACGCTTGAACGTGTCCAACATACTGTCACAGGGATCCAATCATCGCTAGAACGTGTGCAACGTCACAGCCACTGGAATCCAATCAGCGATAGAAAGCTAGAAGGGATTGCCTCATATGCACACAATGTTAACGCACTGATGCTAACTTAATGAGTAATGCTACAATTCTTATTTCAAGAGCGTAATACAATAGTGTAGTTATGTCATTATTGATGGAAATCGCAAAGAATAACATCTTCACTATGTACACTCACTCACAAATACATGAAAAAGTGCCTACGATTCAATCCACAAATACAAAACTGACCACCGATGCAATCAGCTGGGACATACAATCTCCTTTCGTTGCAATCAGCCGAACAAAAAACGTAAACAAAGAAGGTAGCAGGGATACCAACCGCACCAGCAACCAGTGTGAAACCGACATCAATATGTCATGTGAAAAAATGAAAGATACGAATTTTTCTATATTTAAAATTCAACAGAAATCAGAATGCTTTAATAACCTTCGTAAATATTAGGCATGCATGCAGAATCAATCGTGTGCAACAGTGGCGGGAATCTAATGATGGTTAGTGGTTAGTTATTCTTACGCAAATGGTGGGACCGGGTGGGTGCGGTAACTACAGAACATTACTGCAGATAAAGCTCCCAAACTTCGAGACGATAATTGAGTGAAAACTTTATGCAATATATTGTGAGCCTTCTAAAGTTTTAATAATGAAGAAATCATAAGGTTCACAGAATCTAAAGGTTTGAATGCTAAATTTTTGACTTTTGAGTACTCTATTGACTATTGAGTCTATTCTAGTCAGTCAACTGTGAAGAGTCATGTAATGTTAGTTGTGCATTACCTTTTCTTCGAGAAGTTTCTCCAACTGCCCATGAGTTTCTCCTCAATTTGAAAGCTGAGGTAACGAATAGGTGCCATAAATGTTTTTTTATATTTAATTTGAAACTATTATGTTGTGAGTAAATAGTATTTCCTTCAGTAGATCCATCCCTCTTGCTAATCTGTGAGTGACGCACACAATTAACAATCTTGCATGGGACCTTCTCTGTGTTGCCTGACTTGACGTTCATACGATCATAGCTACACATAGCTACCGCAACCGAAGCCGATTTCTGACGGCCTGCAAACCTGTTTCTAGTTGCCTGGAACATTTTTTTTTTTTAGGCAGGACGGTTTTTTTATTTGAACCACAAATTTTAGAATTCCAGCCTGTGTCCAGTACCATGTTTTGCCCTTTACCTTGGGCATTTGAATTCCTAAGCAAGCACGCATATGGCTAGACTGTTTTTTTTTTTCTTGTTGTACTTTTGTCACATCTGTACTTTTTCTTGTTTCATGTAACACAGTAGTTTTTCATTCAGCAGATTAAATTATTTTCATTCCTTTCGTAGTATATTATTTTTTGTTAGCATCAACGTTGTCAAGGAACGAGTCAGAGGAATTTTCAAAATATTTTTTTATTTCTGTTTTGAATTAAATCCAAACATCGAAACAAATTTAATTTTCTTGCAATTGCACATGCATTCATGAAATAATGTTTTGTAGTTTTTAACTGAATAAAGAAAGTTTATGAGACAAGTATAATGCGTTTCATTTTTACATGACGGGAAGAGACGTCGCGAGTTCTTTGTGCCAATGCAGGTACCAAAAGCACCGCAACCATAGTGGCAAAGCAGCGAGTTTTTTAGACTCTCTCTCAAGTTCATTTTTTAGTTCTATAACTAGAAGTAGACCAGTAAATTATCCTGGATACCAGCATTATTATACTCAAGAAATTGGTTTGAATCTTGAGTAAATGAGGAAATTAAAAATGAACCGATTCTAAAAAAGCTCTGGTTTGCCACTATGGCCGCAACGTCTATAGACGTCACTATTTTTTACTGTCAAAAGACTTGTTTATTATCGATATAAACTGACAAAACTTATTTGGTATCTTTTCCGACTATAAGTAAAGAATGGTGGGGTGTGCATTTTGACAAAGCTGGCATGACGTCTATAGCATAGTGGCAAACCAGAGATTTTTTAGAATCAGTTCATTTTAAATTTCCTCATTTACTCAATGTTTAAACCAATTTCTTATGTATGATAATGCTGGTATCCATGATACTTTGCTTGTCCACTTATAGGACTCAAAAATGAACTTGAGGGAGAGTCTAAAAAACTCTCTGCTTTGCCACTTGACTATGGTCTATAGACGTCCACATCGTCAAGCGTCCAATGTGTTAATAATAAAAAATGTTTTGTCAAAGAACCCTTTGCTGTTGTTTCAGTTACATTTACAACTATACAAGTAGAAAAAAAATTTAAATGTATAGCTAACGACCAACATAGTGATAGTGACAATCCAGAGCTTTTTTAGAATCAGTTCATTTTTAATTTCTTCATTTACTCAAGATTGAAATCAATTTCTTAAGTATGATAATGCTGGTATCCAGGATACTTTACTGGTCTACTTATAGGACTCAAAAATGAACCTGAGGGCAGAGGGAGAGTCTAAAAAACTCTCTGCTTTGCCACTATGCTTATATGACTCAAAAATGAACTTGAGGCCCAAGTTGAGGGACTAGGGAGAGTCTAAAAAAAGCTCTCTGCTTTGCCACTACATACTATTGACAAATGACCTATACCTATCACTGCACTCATGATCTCATCAGCAATTACTGTCTATTTACTGAATTAGTGAATAGACCTACTTGATAATTATAGAATACCTAGGGTAGTGTGTTCGACTGTTCGTCATATAAGAGTTAGAACCTATTAGGTACATATATATGTATATAAAGCTTATAATTTCTAATATAATATGATGAAGCAAAATCAGTAATACTGGCATATTTGGACTTAACTCAATTAAATCGAGAGAAATAGGCCTACCTAGGTAGTCCACATCAGATAGATTGCATTCATTAAATTCTTGCTAACAGTGACGAATAACGTTCCAGCGAACTGAAAAAAAATTATAAGCTCGTAAGACAGCATTGTCATTCTCAATCTAAATAGTTCACATTGCATAAATATTGTCTATTTAACTTACCCATAGTTTCGAATTAGAATCACCAGACGCGGCTTTTAACACATTCGACACGAAAAGCACAAGAAACAAGACTGAACTGAGCGTATGGTTCTCTTCCAATAATGTTGTTCGGTCAGATCTTGAAATAAATTTTGATTTGATAAAAATTATGTTTTCTGCTCGTCATTTCTGGATTCTCCAATGAGCTTGAGTAAAATTAGAAATATATAATATACTGCAAATCATGTCAGAGAATGCACCAAATTTTTTTCTTCTGTGTTCCTGGCAAAATAATCAGGGAATTTATTTGATCGAGTATTTCATGCGCATTGTTGCAGTATTTAATTTCTTACTCAGTTACTGGATGTGAATAATAAAAACACTCAAGCAGTGGCCTACCTCAACACTCTCATTCTTTGTATTCGAAGCATACCAGACCAAATTCACTTCACCGACATTGATTGGATCTGACGATAGAGTTCAATATTTATCGCATTAGCTTCAATAACATGAACCTAATTTTGCACGCGCCTAAATTTGGAGAGTAAAGCTAGAAAATCAGCTAGATGATTTGCATGTAGTGCATCCCCCAACGTACGTATACCTAGTGAAACATTGCATCGAAAACAGTCAACAGAACTGTCACCTGTAGCAGAAATCAAACCCTATACCCTCTGTTGCAATCTTGGCACTCTAAAATGTTACACCAATAAATCGCCCGAACACTTTTCCGGCCGGTCATCTGGTCGTTCTTTAAGATTCAGTGAACATAAGATATCAAATGAAATATCTTATCTAATGAAGAACGCGGCTTTGCATGAAACTTTAAGCGTGCATTCATAAAAACCTTACGATGTCGATGATGTTTGATTAGTGATTGTTCTTGTGCTGCCATACGGGCAAAATTCGCAGAGAACATAAAATTCATTCTAAACAACATAATAAATGTGAATAAAACTTTGAATAGACATATCTAATCACCTAAGGATGATTTTTAGCTTGTTCAAAATTTCCAAAAAGACTCTATTTGCGACTTATACGGCTAGAGTTATACGGCTTATACGCTATACCGTTATACGGCTAGAATTACTAGAATTTGAAAGTTGAAACAAGAACCAACACCAGGGGCCACGGCTATAAACTAAAAAAAAACTCCGTTGTAACACATCCATGCGACAAGATTTCTTTTTGTTTCGAGTCACCGACATGTGAAAAAGCCTCCCTGATAGCATCGTTGACGCTCCGAGTATGAACGCCTTCAAGAATAGACTAGACGAAGCTTTGCAGGAGCATATGTTCAGTCTTAAAATGCCTAGCAAATTCCGGACCAGCTGGCAATAAGTCTAGCAGCTATCTCAATAAATCGTCAGTTATGGAAAGATCGGGTTGAAAGGCTAGATCCCTTGTGAATCAAGTCACGAAAAGTTCAAGAATCGGCAACAGGCCATGGGCCTATTTCTTCAATGCCGACACTTCTATTCTATTCTTCTATTGTATACAGAGAAGCGACCGGCATTTCTGCGGCCAATTGCAAAATTTGCAGTGAACATGAAATATCTCCCAAACTAATAAACACAGTTCGATGAAACTTTGCACATGTTTGTATAACAAAAACAAATCAGAATACTATTATTTTAAAACTCGTGATCGTTAATCCAATTATTTGAAATTTCGGCTTGAATACTTTCAAGGAAGTGTTTGCCGTTGCCGCTGGCGGCTGGTCCCGAGCGTCAGTTTCAAACGATGTCACTAAATGAGATCAACTTCAGGCACGCTGAGATAATATTTCCTCTTTTAAATATGCACTTAATAACAAATAATTTAGAATTATGTTTGAAAAAAATATACATATATATTGTCAGTCATGAAAATGGAAGTAATTTTGTTGAAAATTTGCTCCAAGTACATTTCAATAAAGTTAAGAAGAAAAGTCCATTAAAAATCGACTGCTGTATAATACAAATGATACGAGCACGAGGCTCGCTAACTTTTTCTTTGTCATGTAACTTTAGCGACAGCATTTTGTCTCACAGCAACACTCGTGCGGGACGACCACTCGTACAACCCCAGCAGCAGCACCGCTATCGTCAATGCTGGGAGCAGTGGACGATTCCACCAGCACCTGCAACTGGGCTGGTGCGCAACGTAGGGCGCCTGCTCTACCACAGTGCCGAGAATTACAGCTGCTTGATTTATGCATAGACTAATAATAACTTATGCCTATACTAATATTTACAGTCTTTATGTACAGGCTAATAATGTATGCACAGACTAATTAGTAAATATTAATTTACGAGGAAACAACATGATACTTTTCCCTTTATCTTGTCGTATGTTATATACGCTGTTGTCACGTCAGGCCAATGTTTCATCCTGATGAAAGCTATTATGTATGGTTACGTACCAGTTTCCGCTCTTTTAGTAACTATTTTATTTGTCGTGTACATACTACCGTAATTCCTGCTCCGCTTAGCTCGTACCTACGAGGAGAGCCTGGAGAGGGACCTCGAGTTGTCCGCAAGGGACAAGAAGATCACGAACAAGCTAAAGCTTCGTTAATATAATATATGTTCATATTACAAATCAAAATATACATACAACGTGAAGAGCATGGACCGTTTCAATTTTCAAGCTAATTTTCTAAACGTTTTTTCGCGAGAGATAATTCTAAAAAGTTTTAAAGTATGTACACATTTAAAAAAATAATAACATTGCTTCATAAACCTTCTAATATCACATTTTCTTCAAAAATTCAAGATTCAAAGGGAGGAAGATGTTCATACTCGGAGCGTCAACGATGCTATCAGGGAGGCTGTTCCACATGTCGGTGACTCGAAGCGAGAAGAAATGTTGTCGCATGGACGTGTTACAACGCAGTTTTTAGTTTATAGCTGTGGCCCCTGGTGTTGGTTCTTGTTTCAAATTCCAGTAATCCTTCTGGGACCTTGTATAAACCGTGGGTATACTTGTATACTTCAATGATGTCACCACGCAAACGTCGATCACCTGATCACCTATAAAAATGATCTCCTATAACTTCGTTAGTCTTAATCATGGAATCTCGATTGCTGGAAATCATCGTTCACTTTTCCAATGACTACAGTGATATCTCTACTTTAAATGTTTCTTTTAATTTGATTAAATAAATGCATATCCGAGAGAATAATGTTGACGACTCGAATGGGTAATTATAATTGACATAATAATATTAAAACAATCGATACAAAATAATATTTGCTAAATCATTTTCTTCCCATTTCTATGTTTCAATCATTTTAATAAACATAAAATTCAATTTGTGTGCGCAATCATGTGCGGCCACAAGCTTTCTTTCGTAGCGTCAATTGAGTACAATATCATTCCATTAAACGCTACTTGGATAGGGTTATGACGCTACTTGGATAGGGTTATGTCATATATGCTTGTGCCATGACTTGTATTCATACGATACTCCTAATTACAACACTTCTCTTTAACTTCACTTCTTGTCTGTTTGTCTGTCTGCTATAAATCTTGTAATCGAAATTTAACACACTTCTACTTATCCTATCGATCTGAAATTTTGCACACTTGCGTAAAATTGGAGACGATGCATGAATCATTGACACAGGAATAATTTTTTCAATATTAAAAAATAATTTTTTCAATATTTTTTTATTTAGGAATAATTTTTTTCAATATTAAAAAAAACTGGAAAACATAACTCAGTACTAACTGCAGTGAGCGACAAAAAGCGCATTTTCTCGTCGACGAAAACTTGAGGTCACGGACAGATGGACGGACGGCGAGCACAATAGTGCATTTTTTCCATAAATGAGAAAATGCGCTAAAAATAATTTTGTCAGCTACAAATCTTATAATTGATATTTGACACACTTTTACTCGTCCAATTGATATGAAATTTTGCACACTTATCAAGAAATTTATAGTTTAGGTTAAGTTAGGTTAATTGTGATTATCAACAAATAATTATCAGTGTGAAGTTGGAGGCAATGCGTGAATAAATAATTTTAAAATTTTTTATGTATTAAAAGAATTGAAAAATTAATTTTTTTAATATTTGGAAATAAAATTAGAAATTCATTGTACATCTGTAACATTGGTAACACTGGATTCTTTAGAAGTGTTGTCTTTAAAAAGTAAATTTCAAACGTATATCATTTATATAAATGAACTTTAAATAATGAATTATTCGATTAGATACTAGTTTGGTTTGTTTGTTTTTTACCTATGATCGAACTTTCAACCTTGCTCAATATTTTTGGAATAACATTCATGACATGCGAAATTACTATTGTAAATAACATTCATTTCATGCTTCATTTGTCCATTATTAAATAGAAGTGTTCTATCGAATGCAGCCACTATTTACAGAATTTCTTCTCACAAGTTGTACAAATTTAAGAATTTTACGACCTCGCGAATCTTTTCGCCTCAATTTTTTCGATATTAGTAGACAGAATAGAGTCCACCAATAATTTGCATCAAATGCATAGGTTGTAAACCGCTTTTTGTACGGTAGTCATTTTCATATAATAGGAGCCAAATGACATTTCACAACTACTCTCAAGTGAAATTTCGTCATTAAAAATAAAAAGTAAATAAAAACAAAAATCTTCTTGGTTTTCAATTTATTAGCTGTTCTACCTACCGCTCGGTTAATTTTAGATTATATAAGCGTTTTCCTCAGCTTCGTCAGTAAATCCATGGCATTTTAAAACCCTTTGGTTATATTAACAAAGAAGCTACTTTCGTTATGGTCGTATCAACCAAACCAAAACAACATGGCGAATAAATGATCACTTCTAACCCGACTATGTACTTTAGAACGAAAGAACAAAATTTTAATTTGGTAGAATCAAAATGTATACAGAAATCAGAACAGTTCTGAAAGCAGAATGATTATTCAAGTTTAATAAATCACTTCATGCTTTTGAACAAATTAAGGCCACGCGACAAATTCACTGATGTGATTTATATCATTAGAGAACATTTATAAATCATAAGAAAATAATAATGTCATATCGTGCGAGTAAATTAGAAAATGAAACATTAATAATATGTCAAATCATGCGAGTAAATTAGAAAGTGAAACATTAATAATGTGTCAAATCATGCGAGTAAATTAGAAAGTGAAACATTAATAATGTGTCAAATCATGCGAGTAAATTAGAAAGTGAAACATTAATAATATGTCAAATCATGCGAGTAAATTAGAAAGTGAAAGGATACGAGTGCAACATAAATAATGCCTACATGTGTACATCGCTCTCATGGATTACATGGCTTTAAACGGATTACATGGCTTTACATGGATTATATGGCTTTACATGGATTAAATGGCTTTACATGGATTACATGGCTTTACATGGATTACATGGCTTTACATGGATTACATGGCTTTACATGGATTACATGGCTTTACATGGATTAAATGGCTTTACATGGATTACATGGCTTTACATGGATTACATGGCTTTACATGAATTACATGGCTTTACACGGATTACATGGCTTTACATGGATTACATGGATTACATGGCTTTCTCTGCTGACTCTCAATTTAACAGTTAAATGCAATAGGTTATCCACTTGGGACGGTCAACCGCACTTCTTTCTTATAAAAAAAACTTTTAGTTAGTAGCCAATCCGTCAAGAACCTTGGAACTTTCCTTGTTGGTACTACCGAATAGTCGGTTCTCACCCACAACAATCAATACGCTTTCACAACAATACGCTTTCTTTATTTAATAGCATCCACCCGACAAACGCCCCCGTTCATGGATCGTGCAGTGCGGACGAAGGTTGTATTCCGCCAACAGGCGTTGGTTCTCCAGGGTACGATTTTCGAACGTCAGGTAGCGACAATCGTCCGGACGATTTGACATGCGCTCCCGCAACCTCAGCACAGTCTCCGTCCTTGGGTCCACGTTGAACGTATGCGTCTGTCCACGGAGGTCTTGAACATGTACTTCAATCTGAAAAAAAATCATCGTCTTAGGTGACATAGAACGAGAAAGGTTACATCAAGAAATGGCCTATTTTGATGGCATAAGCTGTTAAGTTTTGAAACCAATTCAAATTGATGGTTCATAACAAAATTATAGTCGGATAATGTGCCAACGGATGGAGTTATATAACATTAGCGAATAGCGATTACCTAAAGGTTAAACGTTCACTTACAGTTTTTGTGTTAGAATTAATTGAAGTTGACGGGCGTCGCATTTTATCCTGTTGCAAGCGTTCAACTTTTTCCAGGACTTTAGTAGGTGGGTCCCTGGGTGAGACTTTATTTTTCGCATTTTTCGGATCGATCAGCGTCAGAACAACGGGAAGTTTAGAGCAACTTCCTTTGTTGCGAACTTTGCGGCACTGCGGGCATGCGTAGCTATTGTTTTTCTCAAGATCTTTGAGGCAGAAGGTACAGAAAGCGTGACCACATGTCAGCAGCCGAGGTGGGTTTACTTCACAGTAGTCATCCGAGCACACGACACAAGTAGGGAATCCAGAGGCAGTCGAGTTACTCTGAGGACAAATGGGTTTCAATTAAATTACCAATAGAAGTTACACATGGCTGACGCTATGGCAAGGTAACACATGCACTCAATAAATTCAACGATGAATTAATTATTCCAATATAAGTTGAAACGCTGATAAACCAAATGACCGGAAAAATTGTACATGCGTCGAATTTTTGATGCAGCAATCAAGTGCTGCTGAATTGAATGAACAAATAATAAGTAATTGCAATAAAAATGTTACGGCAACTTAGGCTTACCGTCGAAACCGAGGATCCAGAAACCGATTCAGTGTCATCCGAATCCATGGGAACGACTTCTCTCCCAGTAGGTATGGGTCCACCCGAACTTGTTTCAAGAGGAACCACGTCCCGCCCAGTCCTGGCATCTCCCGAGGCACCTGAGTTCGCCGGAATTAGATCGTACACCGTAAGTAAATCCGAGATATTTTCAGAGCAAGACTTCTTGCACTTCTTCACGCCACATTTCATATCGTCTTGGTCTTCCAAAGCAGAGAGACAACTTCGGCAGGAGACATGGCCACACGGAAGCAGTAGAGGCTTGTGGTCTTTCTCATCGTAGGACTTCTTGCAATGAGGGCAGGGTGGTAATGATGAATCAGCCATCTTATCTGTAATCATGAGACTAGGTTGTAACGCACTACAAACGAAAATGCTATGTTAAATCACGGCTAAAGTAAGTAATAATTTTTTTTCTCCTCCTCAAAATCAAAGTAGCTAATTCAATTGTGATTGAGAAGATTAATCATTCGTGATCAGCTTAATTTACTCTTTGATTGCACTAATTTGAACCTTATCTGTAATCGTATCTTATCTATCTCATCTTATCTATAATTGTGAGACTATGTTGTATTGTAACGCACTACAAACGAAAATTTAATGATACAATCAAGGCTGATGTATGTACCTAACCAATTTTTTTCTCCTCCACGAACTCAAAGTAATTCAATTGCGAATTGAGAAAAGATTATTCATTCGTGATCAGCTTAATTTACTCTTTGATTGCACCAATTTGAAACTAGGCCTAATTACCGGTAGTCTATAAAAATTAAGTTAGGCTATCGCAACTGATTTAGAACCACGCCCCACGCAGGTTACTGGTAAGTGCATTGACACATAGCCTACTAAGCCTACCATATTTGTAGCTAACTGCTAACTACAAAATTTTCTCGAGTTAGATTCTACTTAGCCTATTTATCCGGCTTAAAAATTAATGCAGTGCATATTATTACATTTTCGATAGATATCTTGATCGCTACAAACTGCAGTAGCTATAGATTTGGCTGAACGCCAGAAACTTTGTTTCATTCATCACGACGCACTTTTACCTCTTTCAACAATGTACTGCCACTTGCTCTGGTGAAACATATGGAAGTGATGCATTCAAACGCAAAGAGGCAAGAATAGAAAATAAGTCTGGAGTGAAGTGACTCAAATTGAAATTAAATTGGTGCTCAGGCTGGGAGGTGTGTTTTCTACATACCCGAAGCCTAATAATTCAATTAAAAAAAAATCACGACGCACACGCAGTAGACAGTAGTATCAAAATTATAAGACAATTCCATTACAGTTTCATTCCTATAACCGCAACAAAATCCATAAATAACGGAAGGCTGCTCCATTTGTGCAGCGAAGAACTCACATTATTTGACTGCCCATAAATGCCATTTTAGGCTAGGTCTGTTTTGAAATTTAGGTAGATTTTTGAAGAAATCCCTGAGACTTTATTAGAGTTTGCCAAAATTCTTCAATTCCAATTGATCTCAATCCGCCAGGCTCATAGTAGACAACGGTCAACATAGGTAAAAACTGCAGGCTTCAGGAGAGAGGAGACAAATCGACTTAGGCCTACTCGTATTTTCCGCTACAACTTGAATCTTAAAAAAGCAACGTTTAACATCTAATAACTTATAATCCATGGGAAAAGACAGCTATTGAAGCTTCAACCGTTGATGAAAAGGGTTAACTTACCAATTTTTTTGCTAAAACCTGTACAGTCTTTCTTTGCTTTGCAAGCACAACCACTACGTTCACGTCACCAAGCACAGTGCTTCAATGATCCTCTACGACGTTCTGGCACCTTTATTTATACAAGCAGATGCAACGGGTACCAAACGAGTTACGTTGTCGATCGAACGAAGATTCTCAACTGGGATGCAAACAAACGTTAAACGGCTATAGCCTATGATTACAGACAACACGTCCTAAATGACTGCATCTGTGTACAATAAATAATAATTATCAACAAAAATATCAGGATTTTCTTCGATCATGTCATATTGTTCATATTACCAATGTCTATTATGAACGTTTAAAAACATCTTGGACTCTGTATAACAGTGGCATTAAATTGAGTAGCAATATAGATAACAAAATAATATTTCAATCAATGAACAGTCAAATTTCCGTCCTACGTAGATGAATAAATTAATGAGGTTTCTACTGTACTCACATCGACCGAAGCGGTTGCTGTATTTAATCTCCATTATCAAATAAGATAAGAAATAATCAAACATAATGAAGATTATTAATAATTTTCGTCGTTCAGTCTGTCGAATTCCATCAAATGGATGTTTTATTATCATAAATCGCTCTACAAATATCAGGGCTCTACATTTATGCACGTTTTTCATTTGTCTGATTGTCTCTATGGCCCGTAAAAGCATACCTTCATCGCTATTCAATGTCAGACTCGCCATTATGCGGGATTTTCGGAGTGGAAGAAACTATCGACCATTTCTTGCTAGAATGTAGTTTCTATAAGGATGCACGTCAACTAATGAGTAAAATTTCGTTTAACTAATTTGTACTTAATTCATACTCAACTTAAATTTTTTTTAACTAATGAGGCAGATTTGCAAACATTGGCTTTGAGATTCTGACACTGCGCACAAGCCGCACATTGCTTGGAGGCGGAGACACTGCAAAACGGGAGCAGCGCCTTATCATCAAGGCAGGAACTGCATTCCTCGCAAATATCGACGGACTGGAGTCATTGTGAAACCACAATAACCGAAGAGAATAAAGTGGCTCACAGCTGATAATGTAACTACAACCGAACATGCAATTACAACAGGGTGGCCCAGTAGTTAAAGTTCAGATTACCAAGATTGACGCAGAGAGGCGCGGGTTCGATCCCAGCTCTGTGCGCCAGTTTCTGGTCAGAATCGGCAAGGAGGCCGGGCGGTTAAGCATAGCGGAATTGTAGCAGTGAGTTGTGAGTTCGAGACCGCAAAATGCTGTGAATGTTCTGCGATGTTAGGGATCGGCGACAGGCCTGCGACCTAATAACGCTGAAACCGCTATTATTACAAGCCTGAACTAAATTGCCGTGTCTAGGTGTGAGAACCGACCTGTGTGAGGTCATTTACAACACCTATAAGAAGACAACTCAATCCGGGAACTTGCTACTTTACTCTTTAGTCGTGCAAACATTCATACAACTACGTAAATGACGACATTGTGTAAAAAGTATAGAACACAACATTAAAAGTCTGAAGTGCGTCAATAAATAATATACGTTTAAAACTTACTTTTTAAAGACAACACTTGCAAAGAATCCAGTGTTTCCAATCTTGCAGATGTACAATGAATTTCTCATTTAATTTTCGAATATTAAAAAAATTAATTTTCAATTTTTTTAATATATAATTTTTTTTATATATAAAATTTTGTATTGAATTATTTATTCTGTTAATTGATCCATGCATTGCCTCTGACTTCACACAAGTGTGCAAAATTTCAGATCAATCAGACAGGTAAAAGTGTGTCAAATATCAGTTATAAGATTTGTAGCTGACAACATTATTTTTTAAATTTTTTTAATATTAAAAAAAATTAATTTTTAAAATCATTTATTTTGACATTTGATTCATGCATTGTCTCCAACTTTACACAAGTGTGCAAAATTTCAGATCGATAGGATAAGTAGAAGTGTATTACATTTTGATTACAAGATTTGTAGCGGAAAAACAAACAAGAAGTGAAGTTAAAGAGAAGAGTTGTAAAGATCAACGTTCAACTTTTAAATTTGCATGCTAGGCGGTAGTTACCCATTGTATGACTGTCTGTGTGCAAAGCTCACAATCATTCGGTTGAACGTTGCAGTAGCAACTTCCTCCAAGGGAAAATTTTTAGGTTAAACGGATGAAGATCGAAGGTTGCACATGCAGTAATGTACTATTTACTTTGTGTAAATGTTTGAAAGAAAGTCAGCAAGATGTGCAGCAAACATTTTCAGATTCTTGAGTCTTAACGGACTTGACTTTGTACATCATTCACGGCAGGTAGGGATTCCGTTACGGGTTCTACTGTCTGGCGGACGTGTGTCTTTGGCAGTTCCGTTCTCTGAGTATTCAACGCCATCTGTACGTACAGTACGTTTACTCCGAGAGCTGAACTTCTGAAGGCACCGGACATTCGATAATTCTTATTTGTGGCTGTGGGCCTTGGTTGTAGAAATCTATACTTTAATTCTGGTTTGATCTTTTTTGTTTATTCAAACGCCGTCCCTGTGCGTATTCTGCTATGGCAGGGGCCGGCCCCGCCTCTTAAATCTTAACACCTCCGACCTCCGTCACCTCGGTCCTCGAGCACCTCAGCGCGGGGGCTCAAAATTTCAATGACTTTTCTGCCAGTGCCAGCGATGAGCCTGGTGCTTCAGAAATTCCTACAGTTTTTGATCCATCTTCTGATAGTAAAATGATCTCTGAAGTCTTGGGGGCGCAGAAAGCGAGCTCATGACGCCCACCGACTCAAGAATCTGAAAATGTTTTGCTGCACATCTTGCTTAGGCTACTTTCTTTCAAACATTTACACAAAGTAAATAGCTAGTACATTACTGCATGAGCATGTGCAACCTTCAGTCTTCATCCATTTAACCCAAACATTTTCCCTGGCCCTGGGAGGACGTTGCTACTATGGCAAACCAGAGATTTTTTAGAATCGGCTCACTTTTAATTTCCTCATTTACTCAAGATTTAAACCAATTCCATATGTAGGTATCATAATGTATGATAATGCTGTTATCCATGATACTTTACTGGTCTACTTATAGGACTCTTAGATGAACTTCAGAGTTTAGGGAGAGTCTAAAAAACTCTGCTTTGCCAGTTGCCACTATGCACTATCTTAACCCATTAATGCCGAGCGGTTCCATTTGGAACCAGCGGAAAAAAATGGTTTCATAATAAAATTGTATGGTGAAATCAATATACTAGTGGATGCGTAGGTTTGATACACATCTTGGACGTGTTCTGGCAACGTTTGGTTCTGCTGCGCCGACTACTCCCTGTTCAGTTAACATTAAAAGATTGTAAGTACCGGGTGTCAGACAGAAGGGCTTGACATCATTGCAGAGACCAGGTTTCATACAATGGCAATAGTCGTTGTAATTTCAACGACTTTCGCTGAAGTTATCGACCAATTTTTTTACTTTACAACGACTTTCGAGCTAAAATAATAGGTTATTTATCTTTTTCAACAACTGCCAACTAATGGGACTCTTCCACAATAAACTTCTGACGACTGCCAACAAGCGACTTAGCGAGACCCGACAAGATACGACTGCGGTACCGTAAACTGGGGTTACTTTGACCGGCGGGGTAACTTTGACCACTTTTCGTTTTTTCAACAAAAACCCCCAAAACTCAAAAACGATTTGACATAGAAAAATTTTGTCAATGGCCATCAAAGGCCTAATACTGAGGCTACGTAACACAATAGAAAGATTTAAAAAGTTTGCATATCTAATAGGTTA